AACTGAATGCTATTTTTAACAAAGCAATACCTTTCATTGTAACCATTTTAAAGCAAAGACTGCAGAACAATTTTTACAGTTCTCATATGTACAGCCAAGCTGTTCATAGCCCCAGAGTCCTTTTGGGAAAAAGCAGTTATTTTAAAAATCAAATCAATAAAACAAAACTAACCCAGCATGATTTTCCACCTCTGCCTAAAACAGAAGGAAGTAGTGGAAGGCTCTGTCACTCACTGAGTTCTGGGGTTCATCAGCTGGGGCTGGCTCCCCTCTGGACACTCCCTGGCAGCATTCTTACAACACTGGAGTCAATTTGTGCTTACTGTAACTGTATTTGTAGTCGTTTCAAGTTTAAACTACAAAGTAAGATATTAATCATATAATTATTACCATCTAACCCACATAAACAGAGTCAGCTACAATCCTATTTAAAACCTAGGCAGAGACATAATTTGCAGAACCAACCTTATAAGCCAAGTAAACCTCCATGCAATCTGGAGCCAGGTTGGTCTGACAGGCAGTCAGGATTTGGCCTGTATCATAGAGGTTTAGTTAAATAAAGCCACAGTACCTTCTCTGCATTTACAGGAGTAACAAAATGTTGCCTGTACCATCAACAAGACATCTCTCTGGAAACTGAAAGCACACCTGCCCTTCTGAAAGTTTTAGCTGGAAAACCACATGGTTGTGAGACTAGAGCTTGACCATGAGAGAGACAAGCAATGCTTACCTAAGCAAGTTATCTCTTAATTGTCACTAGTTTTTTCTCTGTTTTAAAGGAGAGCTGACATATTAAATATTTTATCCCCCTCTCAAGCACACAGTGGATGGATACACACACGCACACAGCTATGAAATGTGGTAGAATATATGCTTCATTCACAGCACTATCAAACCAAGCACTCATAGCAGCACAGCTTTGAGAGAGTGACAGCAGAGCAAAGTACACACGACACGACACTGCAGGAACTTATACAGGAGGAGAATCACCAAGTCCATTTCCTTCACTGCCGTCCCTGCTTCAGACGGTATCAGCAGTTTTTCAAGTACCCTTATCTACAGACCAGAATTTTGTACCAGCTTACAGGTCGTGAGAGAGTGGAAGAGGGCTTAAAAAACAAACCAAACCAGCAGAAAAAAAAATAATAAAAAAGACAACCACCCCAAACCAAAACATACGCGTCAGTTTCGCCAGCAGATAAAACTGCCGCACGCAGACGGCACAGATTGAGGACAGTAGTTTGCTAGTCCGGGCTCTTGGGAAGTGACTTCACTTTTCCCGTGGAGGAGGCAGGGAGATGAACGCTTCCACAGCGCTCTCGCATTCCTGACCACGAAAACAACTTTATTTTTTAAATCCTGCACTGTGCTCCAGCTCCTCTCCTCGCGAAGCGCCGCTGCCCAGGGAACTCCACGCACACAGACAAACACCCAACAACACGAAGCAGCCGAACCATCACCCCGCGCCCCCGTCGCGCTGGGGGCCCACGGCCAGCGCAGGAGCCAGCTCGGGTCAGCGGCCACTGCCGCCCGTCACACAGGCTGGCCCGGCGGCTGCCCGTCGTCCCGCGGGAGCGGCATCCTCCCCGCCTGCGCCCCTCGTCACACCCGCTCGCCCCGGCGGGGCAGCGTCCCGATCTCTCACCGCTGCCGCCGGGCCGTCCTCCCCGCGCCGCCGCTGCCTCCAGCCCGGCGGGGCCGCGCAGCCGCCTCAGGGCCGGGACAGCGTCGCCCACATTCCGGCAGCGAGAGGGCGGGCGGGTGCGCGCGCACGGCTGACACGGCGTGAGGGCGGGAGGGAAGGAGGGACGGCAGCGGAGCTCGGGGCCGCTCGGTGCTCCGGCGAGCGCGGCGGTTCCGCCGGCCCGGCCCGGCTTCCTGGCGGTGGTGAAGTCCTGGGCGGCCCCATGGGAGTGCCCCCTCTGGGACACAGAATTATAGAATGAAACCATTCTGTAATTGCGTCGGAACGGGCCTTTAAGACCATCTCATTCCACTCTCGTGCCATGGCCAGAGACCTTCTCTGGTTCCTTCGAGCTCCGTCCAGCCTGGCTTTGGACACTCCGAGGAGGATGGAGCCAGCCCAGAGGTTCTCTGTGCACCTGGTGGCAGGGCCTCACCACTCTCACAGGGAGAAATTTATTCCTAATATCTAATCTAACCCTGCTCTCTAGTGGTAAGCAATTCTTCTGCGCCCTGTAACTACAGGTTGTTGTAAATAAATTCTCCCTGCAAGTTCCCTTTCAGGTACTGAAAGGCTACCATGAGGTCACCGCAAAACCTCCTCTTTTCCAGGTTGAACAATCCCAACTCTCTCAGCCTTTTATCACAGCAGAAGTGCTCCATGCCCCTGACCATCCTGGTGCCTCCTCTGGGCCCACTCCAACAGGTCCTTGTCCTTCTTGACCCCAGAGCTGGAGGCAGGTGGGGTCTCACCTGAGCAGAGGGGCAGAATCCTCCCCTCTGCTGCTGCCCATACTCATTTTGGTAAATGCTTCTCTCCCACCTGTCTGAAAGCATCCAGCAGGCACTGAAACGTGTCAAAATACTCACCCACAACTGAAGGACAATGAAAGCAACCTATAAATCATGGCAGTCTTTGGGAAAAATGAATTAAGCTTGCCTTCAGATTTTGTACCCTGGTCTCACCAAGTGGTACATTGTGTTTGCTTATAGACAGTGCTTTGGTGTGGTTAAACAAATATTTAAAAAGTAAATATCTATGCTTAATCAAATATCACCATTCTTTATGTTTAAATAAAATATGTTTAAATTACGACAGCTTGTCTTGTCGAATTGTGTGTGAAACAAATTACATATAAATTAACCACAGCATCTATACAGCTTGTCTGTATTCTCCCCATTTCAGATGCAGTTCAGCAAAATGTTAAGGAATGCCAAGTCACAGCCTTCCATAAAACAACTTTAGCATAAAAGCCAGTGGGCTGTGTCCTGTTGGCCCTGGGACAGCCAGACTGCCCATGTGGGCATTGATTTTAGGCCGTTTTCTTGTCACTGGGGTGGAGAGCTTTGTTTGTTACATGGTCTTTTTTGAGCTGAACTGTCATAAAAAAACCTGTCTCAAAGTTGGCAAGACAAGCAGGCAAAGGAGAGCATTTCACAGCAAGAAAAAAAAAAGCCATCTCCCATTTAAGAATTCTTATGATTTGTCTATAAATGGCATAAATTAAATTGCCTCCAGATTACTTTTATCCCACCATGAGTTCAGATAAACCACAAAAGCATAGGGAAAGCAGAAGAATTCAGGCACAAGCTGGGGGAGGTAGGCAGGGCTCCATCAGGGTGCTGAGCTACTGTGCAGAAAGAGATGAGGTTGAGACTGCCCGGCTCCAGGCAGCCGCCATACAACTGCTACGGATCAAAGGAAGGACTCACCTGCAGCCAAAGTCTCGGTCAGACCTTTCACAGCACCAAGTCACAACTCCTGAAGAACCCCAAGTGGAAGAGCCCATCCACCAACCAAAACTCCCCAGCTCCAAACCTACTCCGCTGGAATGCCATGGCCATTGGCCCCGCTTCCTTTTGTGTTTTGATCACTGAATATTCACCCAGAAAGCCACCTCCTCCCCCTTCAAGGGTCTCCCTGATAATAGTGGGAAGAAATTCACCTAAACCCACAAGTCCAAACAAGGCAAGGCAAGAAGGGATAAGGCAAAGAAGGGGTAAGGGAAGGAGAGGGAGGAGCAATGCCATGGACGGGCACGGTAAGGCAAGGCAAGGAAAAGCCAAACAAGGGAAGGGCAGAACAAGGCAAGGGCAGGCAAGAGAGGGGCAACGAAAGGCAAGGAGGGGAAATGCAACAGCAAGTTAAGGCAAGGCAAAGAAAGTAAAGGGAGGAGGTCAGCAAGGGAGGCAATAGGCAAAGGAAGGAAAGCAAAGGCAGGGTAATGGAGAGAGGGAAAAGGCAGTGGAGGGGGAAGGAAGGCACGGCAATAGAGAGGAAAGAAGGGGCAAGGGAGACAGAAAGCAAGGCAAGGGACAGGCAATTAAAGGAAAATGACAGCAAGGCTAGAGAGAGATAGGCAAGAAAGGGCAATGGAGGGGTAGGCAAGGCAAAGAAAGACAAGAGAAAGAGTGGAGTAAGGCAAGAGTGGAGCATGGGATGGGCAAAGAAAGGAAAGTGAACCTAAGGCAAGGGAGGGGCAAGGGTAGGCAAGGCAAGGGAAGGGCAAGCTAAGGGATGGGGGATGGGGAAAGGAAGAAAAACAAATGCAAACCAAGGGATGGGCAAGGAAAAGCAAGGCAACACAATGGAGAGGCAAGGTGAGAAAACACAAAAGGGGCAAGGCAAGGGAGGGAAAAGATGGAGGCAGGGAAAGGCAAGGAGGGGTAAGTCAGAGAGGCAAGGTAAAGAAAAGCAAGGCCAGGCATAAGAAGGGCGAGTCAGTAAAAGGCAGGGAACAGGAAAAGAGAAAGGAAAGAGTGGGGCAAGGGAGGAGCAAAGCTTGGCAAGGAAAGTAAGGGGTAACAGAGGGGCAAGGCAAAGGAGGGGAAGGCAAGGCAAGAGAGGGACAGGTAAGGCAAGGTAAGGAAAGAAAGTGATAGGCAAGGGTAGGCAACACAAGGTAGAAGAGGTGAGGCAAGGAATGGGAAGGGTAGGCAAGTCAAAGCTTGTTATACCAAGACAAGACCAAGGCTGGCCATCTCCAATCAGAGGTCTCCGGGCAGAGGTGCTTGGGCACAGCTCCTTGACAAAAAAGTGCTTTGTTAGGGATAGTTCTCTTTCATGCCTTGGGGAGTTTTCAGACCAAGCCAGCTCCCAGGGGCAAAATTGCAACAAAATCCTGTAACCTCTGCTAATACATATGCATTAAGAGCCCTTGCACAGAGGGTTCATGTGCACAAACACATGTGAATGGTAACAGATGATACTGTAAGCCAAACCAGGTGATTATGTAAAGGTGAGTATAGTAGTAGTCTGAAGACTGCATATCAGGAAACGAGTGGTAACATGGCAAAACAAACAAAAAGGCAAAATGTAGCTTTTTTCAATGCAACAGATTAATAGAAGAAAAAAAATATCAATGACATTCATACAAATTTGTCAATTTACACCAACAAAGCTCAGCAAAATTTGACTGATCTCAGATGTAGAGTCGCTTTATCTTCCGAACAGATTCTTCCCACCAATCGCTCCAACGCTGAATTGCCAACAGCTGAGCTGCACTTTCTTCCTTGATCTGGACAAACATCTGTTCAACTTTACTTCTGTATTCCTGTATTAAAAAACCCCAACAATTAAGGACAAAATTAGTACTGACGAAATATAATTTTATTTGCCTAAATCCAGGTCCTGATCCATTGTGTCAGAAGACTGCATAGAGGCCACTTATTTTTTGCCTTTGACAATAGAACTAATATGAATAATTAACTATTAGCTGTGTTCCTTTTAAAGACTTCTGAAATTAAATTATCAGCAATATTTAAATTTGGCTAAAATGCAAAACCTTCCATTAGTTCCTAAGAGCAGGGAGTAGCCTTCTCTCAAGAAAACACTGGATGCACTCAGGCTCTTGCTGGAACTTCTTAACTCAAAAGTATGAACTGAAATATTACAAAACTGCTAAAAAGTAATTTCCTCTAGACAGAAACTTGCAGACTACCATAAAAACCTCAAGGCACTTCAATATTCATACAGAGTCCATGCTCCAAAATATATTCTATTGCTTAATGCAACACACGTGTAGGAAAATACTCCTATGGTGAGCATGCATTCTATATCCAATCCTTTTATCCAACCATTTGTATCCAAACAACCACATTCCCTTCAAATCTTTGCTGTAATCAGGTTCCTGGGCACCAGAACTAGATACATAAAACACACACACACAAATGGGTAGTTTTGATGGCATTTGCAATCACCGACAATATATTTTATATTCCCCTATTAAAAGCAGATATTTTTAAAAAGTTAATTTAGTTCAGTAGGAGTACAATTACTTCCAGGTCAGATGCATAAAGACATCTCCAAGTGATTTAACATAAAAATGTTCTCCTAACTGCTAAGCACTGCTGTTTTGAGAACCATTTTCTGTGCCAGTCAGAGGCAGAGTTTTCTGCATTCTTTTAACAGACTCAGTGAAGAAGGAGGGATCATTTTGATGGTGGGAACAGTCATCTGTGATAATTGTGGATATAAGATAGGTATGAAATATTTTACAGCTCTTCATCTTTTATGGGCAAATCAGCTTTTGTGATCTAAGGCTGGAGCTAAAGGCTTCAGAAAGAAAGACGAGTGAAAACAAGTAGGACTGAAATGGCACTGGGGCACAACTGCTTTTGGAACTATGATGCTGCCAAAATGCAGTGTCCTGTTTCTGACACCATCCATGCTTCTCAGCTGAAACAATTCCCCTTTGTCATGTCTCTGAATGAGAAGACTCCACGAGGAACCAACCCTGTTTGCTTCTGACAGCATCACAGAGAAATGGACATGAGAAAGGATTCCTACACATGGATAATAGGGGCCTTAAACACTGTGTACATTAAAAACTTACACACATAACTGAGATTCTACAACTGTCTTCTTAAAAAACCAAACCCAAAACAGCAGCAGCCCACTCGAGTCCTTCCCCACAGACCCACCTTATATGCAGCCTGTCTTGCATCCACCACTGCCAAATGGCTCAGGGTAGTCTTAGCTGTTGAAACTGATGCAGTTCCTCTGCAAAGAATATACTCTGGAGTGTCAGGAACAGTAGTCTCGGGTATTCCTGGCCAAGTCCTGTGAAAAACCAAACCAACCAAAACAAACACATGAGAAAAGAAGTTAGAAAAGAGAACAGATCATACTAATTCACATTACTTGTACTAAGGTGCCAATGATCAATGTTGGGTTTTTTTCCCACAAGAGGTTTACCCTAAAAACATATTTGTTTACTACAACCACCTGTTCTTTTAAAGCATCAGGTTCTCCCCACAGTAGAGAACTAATTTCTTCTGAATGACAATACACAGAGTATTCACAGATCTGAATGTAATGAATTGGTAACTAGTGACAAACAAGTGGCATAGCAGTGACATGGGGTTTTACAATACTTTTTTATTGTTTTAAAATACTATATTTATTTGGATCTATTGCAATTCTTTCTTTAAAATTATTACCCAATCAAACTACCACTACCCCATTACTAGTTCAATGACATTACTAATGCTGAGCAGCAGTTTCAACAAGTGCAGGAAAAAACTATGAGGACAGGGCCTGTTACCAGTTCAGAGCAGAGAAATTAGACAGATCCGTGTTCAGTATCTCCAAACATTACCTCCTTCCTCGTTTGACTAACTGTTGAACTCTGGAGGTTCCTAGAGGAAGTTCAGTTTGTTTACGACACATTAAAGTTGGCATCTTCTCTGTAGGTATTTCAGTTCCTGGGAGGTAACAGAAGATATGCTCAGCAGAAACAAAACAATATCAGGAATACAGCTGGTTTGGAGTAATTGTGCAGCTCAATGCTCTACACTCTCAAGAAATAGCTTTGCATGCTTTATTATGCAAATTTTTAAATTTAAAATATTATATCAAAGCCTCCTATTCCTAGGGACACACTGCTGCAATCTTTGATAAGGGAGAGGAGGTCTGAATAAGCAATCTCTTCTTTTCTTACCTGCTACTTTTACATCATCAACAGTGATGATTTCATCTAGTTCCAAGAGGAGCTTTTCAGTGAGGGCAGCCAGTGCAGAAAAAAAGCTCTGAGCACACTCAGCAACACAATCCTGTTGCAACATTGGAGACAAGTGAGAGGAATTCCTTTGATAATTGGATCTAATCTCCTTTTAACTTGGCTATGAAAGACTACACATATATCAAACCCTGGCATTCCACAGCAGCTGCAGATAACAGACATTAGGTTCAAAGTTGCACATAAAAGGGTCTCAAAGTGTCTCTGCAGTATTCTTAACATTGCCTGATCATATAAAGACCATAAAACTGTAGAGTTTTGGGTATAGGTACCTAGTAGTTACACAGTTGGGTTAAACATGATAAAACCAGCTTCTAGCCAAAGAGAAGCTCATTTGCGAATTCGGGTACTTTTGGTGCTTAGCCCAGGTGTTACTGTCAATCAGGGAATTCTGTGTCTGTATGCAGAGCTAAGAGTAGGAGTTACTACTTAGGAATGAAAATTATCAGTACTCTGCAGACGGTGTAGAATTTGGAGTAAGTGGCCTGAGAGAACTAAACAACAGGCTTTAATGCTGGGGAACCAACCTTCAATTAACCCAGGCGGTGAGGGGGAAAAGTATTTTGATTCCTGAATCTCTCCTGTAAATTCAGCTTATTTCAGTTCTTAATCTTATGTACAAAAGTGTCATTATCTGCACTAATGAAATGCACAGAGAAGAAACCCTTCCAGGCATCTGTTGTCTGGAAGTAAGAGAACTAACCAGAAGATGTCATCACCACAGCCAATACTCCTACACACCATTACACTCACAGCCAGCAGGTTCTATGAATTATATAAAATATCAGTAAGTTCCACAATGTATCTAAGCAGCTGTATGTGTGCAGATATATTTATGTCTAATGCTGACAATAGACCACTTAAAATATAGCGATATATGAACAGGATTGCTTAAAACTGAAAAAAAAATTCAGGTTTCCTTTGATGGGGAAGAAAAATGTATCCAAAATACACCCTCCTTTCCAAATGCAATATTTAAGTTCACATTAAGCAAGGGCTTTACAATTACCTGCAACATCTTTGTATTGAGGTGAACCCCATCAGTTTGATCTTTTTGCCTTTTTATTTCCTCTTGGCACAAAACCTCCAGCTGAAGGGAGTTATTTGGGTGTCCTAGGGAGTAATGTAATTTTCTCCTGTGCACAGTCTTTAAGAGAACATGTAAGAAAGAAATGCCTTCAGTAAAGAATATACTGTGAGTCATAAAAAGGAAGAAGTAAACCACAAACATCTTCTATAAAGGTATTCAGAAACACAAAGAAAATGGAGCTACTTCTTGACTGTCTGGATATAAGCTTTGCACTGCAAGATGTACCAAATTGCCTCTCTGCTGGCCTCTGGTCTCACTTTGGGATTTATTTTCAACAAAAAAAATCATCTCTTCTACCACATGGTAAGTCAAGTATTTTGTATATCTCTATATTTGTAATTTTTACCTAATTTTTAATACTCAAGACACAATCTGAAAGACACTCTAGCATTTTCTGTGTAATCTCCATTACGATTCTGTTCTCAGTTCTGATATTACTTGATAAAATATGCCTTTTTTATGAATGATGGTAAATACAGTATTTCATTATCCTTATATCACAGTTCTTACAAAGGAGTGCACCCATACAGTAGGATCTGTCTGGCCATACTACAAGGTCACAGCCCTCACAGAGCTGACAGGCAAGTGTAAGATGACAGGCAGAGCTGAGATTGGAAAGAGGCAGTGCTGGAAGTGCTGGAAGCTGGGAGAGAAGGGACAGAGTTCCACAAAATACAAAGCTTCCAGGAGAACTAAGCAGGCTAACTGCAAATACAAAAAACTGTATCTGTCATCAGCTCAGCAGAGAGTGATGAAGCAAACAGTGAGAATGAGAAAATCAAAATTTTAGCAATCTGATGCACTTACCATGGGTTACACTACAAAGCATTCCAATATACACATACCTTCACATCCCCCCAGTCTTTCAGCTGCCTATTGAAGAGATGCTGAATATGACCAGTACAAGAGCTGAGCTTCTGCTCATGTTCTTTTAAAAGACTTTCCACGACCAGTTGGGAAACAGAAGAGAGCTCCTCCTCAAACCACTTCAGCTGATCCTGAAATTCTTTTTGGAAAAGACATGGTGTGCATGTGATACAAACAGCCTGGAATTTCCTCTCACAGAGATTGTGTCCCTGACATTCCTTTTTCTAGGTGCAATGCTTTGAGAAACATACACCTGCTCAAAAATGTGACTTTGGCTCAATTACCAGTAAAGTCAACTAGAGTTTTTCCACTGAGTGTGATGGATTACGACAATGTTGTAATTCTTGGTCACTGCAATTTTCAGCTTCCATACTGAAAAATTACATACATAAGAAAATGCAAGTCTTAACTGAATGAATTTACCTCTAAGACAGAAATTGTAGGAATCATCTGTCTGCCTTTGGTATGACAGAAGTTTCACTCTGAGCATTTCTGCCCAGTGTTCAAATGTGTCTGGCAGATCTTCAAGCATTCCCATATGAGGATTCTTCTTTTCTCCACAGAACTCCTGCAGAAGGGAAAGACAAACCAGAAAAAAATGTTGATAACACATTTAAACATGCCACATCTAGGTATATAACAGTAGGAGAAGAAAGGAAAATTTTTGGACAGTCTGCCAAATAATGAAAGAATCAAATTATTTCTCTGACACGGGAGTACACCTATGAAAAGTAAAATTGACTAAAGAAAATGACATTTCCTTACCTCACCAAGGCAGAGCAAGGTGTTGTTACCATTCCAAAGAATATTCATAATAATCCCCTTAAAAGTACTGAAAACCAAAAAACATTTACAATTTTAAAATATTATCACACTGTTAAATGATCACACTGGCAATATTCACTATTTTTCAAGTATTTTGTTCAGGTTAATTTTAGTATTTTTCCGAATGCCTAAGAACCTTCCCCCACATTAGCACAGATTCTCTTCAGATGCAGCCAGGATAAGGGGCTATTGTAATCGCTCACTGGAGAGCACTGCCATATCACTGTCACAAAAAAGCAATCTTAGCCAAATTCCTGCGCCCAAAGACCTTACCATGCATTTTAGATAAAGCAAAAATATTTCACAGTGGGTCTAGCTGTTTGCTGGAATTATTTTGGAACAATATGGAATAAAATTCCCAAATGCTTAAACATCTTAAGCATTAATTTGAATAGTTTTTTATGGCATGTACAAAATATCTTAGTTCTACAGACTACAGCTGCACATATCAACAATATGAAACTTTTCTTACAGAAGAGGAATGGAACCTGTTTGCTCCTTGTTTATTCCCATTAATGGAATACTGAGTACAAGAATGAAGATATAAAATGTATGTCTTCTTAGGTGTGAAAATAATTGAAAAAGAGGCTATTTTGCATTTCCCACCCATTTACAAATGTACAGAATGGCTCCAGTGAGACCCCCACTTCAGACATCAGAGAGAATGAACCAGATGCCATACATCTTCACTATTATTACACTGCAAAAAGGAACTGTTCTGGAAGTACTTTGACCTATAATAGCAAGGCTAAATTCAAAAGTCAATGGTGAACTCTACAGGTCACAATGATAGACAGATAGATACATACATAGAGGGTTTTTACAGATTAACTTCTTGTTCTGGAATTATACAACTTACTCAGACTTTGTAGGCTTCTTTCCAAATATCTGGGATCTTTCCTCCTTGGTAAGAGATTTTCTGCCTTTTTCACTGGAAAGGAAAAACATTAGTTTGTAACTATCCACAAGTGTTTTCCTTCTCTGGCTGATGATTTGAGCTAGTCAGTCATACGACAGACATGAATCTGAGGAAAAATTAGGAAAAAACCTAACTCTAGAACTACTATTCTATGTGTCCTGGTTGTGGGCCAGGACAGGGTTAATTCATGCAGTAGCCAGTGGCCAGGATCTGGAGGTTATTCTTACCACCTCTCATCATTGTGGGGGTGGCTGGAAGGGTCTCTGCTGTTGGGGAATGTGGTGGCAGTCTCGGGGGTTTCCTCATGGGGAGCATTCACACGTGAATCACTTGCCTCTCTTGTACACTTCGCTATTAACATTGCTGCTGTTACTATTAGTTTGTTTTTTTTTATCTCATTGCTGTTTCTAGTAAATTGTTCTTATCTCAACTTTATCTTCACCTTTCGTGCCTCCAATTTTCCCCTCCAGCTGCTGCAGGGAAAGGGGAGGGAGCAAGCAGTGCACAGTTTGGAGTGTTTTGTTAGGAGCACAAAATTTGGGAATACCATTCCCAAACCAGGACAATACAAAGATAGTATTTTGATGGAAAAAGATTCTCAGAATTCTCTTCTAAACTCTCCGTTGTTCAAAATTTTTTGTTGTTTTCACTATTACAGTAGCTCAATTCATTAATCTGCGGACTAAGCTGAAAACAAACTATTTAGACACAAAATTAAGCCACAGTGATTTAAGGGTTAGTCTATATTTCAACAACTTCAAAATACAAAACAGCAGCAGATGAAGGAGAAAAAAAAAAATTTTTCCAGTCAAAATGTAGGGGAAAAAAACCCCACAAAGCTGATCATGTGGACATTAACAGGTAAGAGATTCCAAGTAATAAGCAGTAGATGGAAAGAAGGCTATACAAATAAGCAGTAAGAATCTTTCAATGAACAAAGTTTAGGGAAATTTTTGCATAGGAATTTCTAAAGTGGAATTCCTCCTTTTAGGGCTCTCACCTTTTTTTTCTCTTGGTTTCATCCCGAGATGACCCCTTGCTAGTAGACTTCTGAGAATATACATCAGATAACTTCTTCTATACTGGGGGAAGAACTGCTTATAGTTAACAAGGAAAGAAGAATATTGCCTAAATGCCAACTGAAGTGCTTTTTATGAGTACATATATTTTGTATTCTTATTTCTGTAACATTTCCTAACAATATGGAGGGGACAACTACAGGAACGATCATTTCTGTCAGACAGGCCTGAAGTAACCCAGAAGTGGCTACAGCTGTAAAGGTTGCTGGGGCATGAGTCCCAGGAATGTCACAGAAAGTTCATGGTAAAGGGAGGAGATTTTAAGCAGATTGGAGGCAGGTGAAGAAGGAGAATGATTGGGCTGCATTCATAGTATTGGTGGTCATGGGGACTTGCACATGTGGAAGAGATTGAGGGTAGCTTTGGAAATGGCTGGGAGAGTCAAGGTCTGCAGAAGAGAGATGAGGAAATGGGAACACTAGGTAGGGAGCATCTGGGGTTACCTCTGTGCTCACCTTTGAGTAGATGATGATACACTGTGAGAAGGATCCCTGATTCCCTATATACATCATGATTTCTGCTCTGCTTCTTTTCTCAACACCATCTCCCTTCTGCTATCACAAACACAGGGACTCTTTATAACATTATTATCTCATTCTACAGTTTTCATTGCTTTAGGAGCCCAAAATCATCTTTATCTAAGTAAAGATGTCCAGGGAAAGAGTTGAGAAACACAACTATTTCAGCGTTCCTAGCATAGAAGTCACTGGCCTGGACCATGCTAGACCTGTGCAGTAAAATGTCAGGAACTAAAATTTAGATGAAAACAAAGTATTAAAAGAAATACAGGCACACCTGGATTCTTTTTTCCCCCAATTTAGGTCTTGGTATTTTTTTGATGGATCAAATCTGAAAAGAAAAAAAAATAAAGAGCTAAGTACTACTGCATATCCTGCCATTTTATGTTCTATACTGTATTATATATAGCAAACTAGGAAAGTTCTCTATCCCTATCATGTGCTAAGTGAGTTAAATTTCTGAGACCGTATTTAACAGCTAGGGTTACTTTTACAACTGACAGTGTATATAGAAGTAATTTCATAGGACTGATTGATTTCATAGGACTGGAATTTTGGATTTTCTACAACCAAAACTACATTAAATACTATTTACAAATCAAACATTTATCACACTCTTCATTTTACACATTGTATATACAGTCAACTATGGAGCAGGTAATCACCTTTAACTAAGGCTCTAGAAGATAATAATTAAATACCTAAAATTTATCATTGTATGCTAGATGTCACTGACAAAGGGGTATTTTTGGCTATGAGAAATCTTGGTTTTAAAAAGAAAGCAGTCTCAGCTAGAATAATTTTTAAACTTAGACTGATTAGAAAATATCTAGTAGTATTACCTATGACCAATCTATTCACTAGTTCTGGGCCAAGAAAAAATAAATAATGATTTGGACAGAAAAATACCTTCAGGCAAACAAGTACTTACCCAGCTAAATTTTCAATAACTTTTATTGCCAAATCATTAAATATTGATGTATCCATTCCACTTGGATTCAACAAAGGGAATTTGTCAGGATCCAGTCCCATCACCATCCTTTTGCTCTCATCTCCGAGACTCTCTTTTGGAACAGCAGGAGCAATGAAATCTTGTAACATCCCATTCGTGTCAGGAGTGGTGAAGGCCTCCTGAAATGGGAAGAAAAATGAAACCCTGTAGACCATATGACAGGCAGTTGGTGAAAGCATTCCATGTAATAACTGACTACTAGAGCAGATTTTCGAAACAGACAATCAGGCTGAAATAAATTTTTTGTCATTCTAACAGCAATGTTGTTACAGCTTTTCAGCTCTAAAACACTTCAAAGCAGTTAAGAGTAGGTTCACATAATCATCATAAACAGTATTTAAGGATATACTCTTAAACCAATGGTCCATTGAGATTACAAAATAAAGACAGACTTTTCAGAAAAGGGAGGAAAGAAAACACAACCTGTTTGATAAAAACAAAATCCCTTCAGGACACAACTGGGATTTTTAAAAAAATAATTTCAAGAAACCTGTGAAACATGTCCCTCTGAATAGTGCTACACCTTGAAAACAAACACTTGTGAAAAACTGAGCAACTCATTGCAATGCCATGTGTCTCTTCAGCATTTTGTAAACTTGGTGATTTACTCAGCCTCTTAAAAAGGCTGTCCTAATGTTACAAAGGTGTCTTTGACATCTCAGCATAATGCAGATTCTTTTTTAATTTGAGAATTCAAAGCACAAATTCTGAAAAGCCATTAAAACATGTACATATGAAAATTCTCTCAACATTAAATAAAATACAGAGAATGTGAGTGTTATCTTACAGTGGCACATGGCATCTTTGGTTTTACGACAAAGCAATCAAGATACTTGCTCCTCTTTTTCAGCTCTTCCAACACTTCTTTGGCAAAAGCATACAACTCTTCAGAAGTTAAAGCCTGAAAGATATGATAATACAGATGGTATTTACTAAACTGACTATTCCAACCTTTTCAAACATGCTGACACTTGCAAACAATATTATTTGCCTTTGTTCTGTCACCAGTTTATGTACACATATATGGAAGCAATGAGATTGTAAAGGAGGCTGAGGTTTTGGTTTGGCAAACAGGAAAACAGGTACCGACTGTCCAAAAAGGACTGTTGTGGTTTTAAACCCAGCTGGAAATGAAGCATCACACAGCTCAACCCTCCTTCTCTCCCTCCATGCCCTGGTGGAATGGGGAGGAGGATCAAAGGAAAGCTTTTATGTCTTTTATGTTGAGATAAGAAGAGTTTAATAATTGAAAGTAAAGTGAAATACAATGATAATAGTGAATAATAACTATGATAATAAAAAGTGAAAAACAAGTGATGCACAATACCACTGCTCACCACCTGCTGACCAATGCCAGATGCCCTCCTTGGCCCTTCCAGTTAACTCTCCCAGTTTATAGACTGGACATGACATTCCATGGGTGGGAATATCCCTTTTTTGGCCAATTTAGGTCACCTGTCTCAGCTATGCTCCCTCCCTGTTTCCTTTGTGAACCTCCAGTGACAGAGCAGGAGACAAGGAAGAAAAATGTCCTTGACTTAGGAGAAACAGGACTTAGCAAAAACTGAGTTATCAATACAATTCTTATTCTGAATCCAAAACACAGCACTGTAACAGCTACTGAGAAGAAATTAACTCTATCCCAGCGGAATCTCAGACAAGGACCTTACTGAGCAAAAATTCTGTGTTTCTGCCCAGCCCCAAATACGAAGAAACATAAATCTTCCTCCAAAATATTAGTTTATACCAAATTAATAACAATTAATAACAAGTCAAATTAAATACCATGTCGTGCTGATTAGAAGTTACTTCTTTATCTGCAGTAGAATGAACATAAGCATCTCTCTTCTGCTGGAGCTTTTCCAGGTAAGACTTTAATGTGACTGACTGCAAATTGGAATTCGCTACCTAAAGCAGAAGCAAACTTTAAGAAACAGGAGAAGTCCCCATTCACAGGAATTTCAGAGGTTCCACTTTCAAGCCATTAGAACCACTGATAAAAACTGGTTAAAAATCCCCAGTACCCCCAGAGGAGAAGATGAAAACAGTAATTCACAAAAGCAGCTACACCACACAAAAATATTGGTGAATTCAGATGTACATACTCAATGTGTTGCAAGGCCGTAGTGTTCCAGCACAGCTGCAGCAGTCTTAAAAATAAACTTTTCAGTGGATAGTGACAGAAAGCAGGTTTTAAATTAACATAAGAAATTAGGTAATATTTGTCCACTATGAATTCAGCCAAAAGCTCCTCAAAGGTAAAAAAGAAAATTATTATCTTAAATTTAAGCAAAGGTCTGATGTTTCTCTTTGTACCTCTGATTTGATTTGCTGTCGTAGCTTTCTCAAATATTGATGGACCTTCTCCATAAAGGCTCGACTCAGAGACAGAGAAACAAACTTTTTTCCAGACTGCTTGAAAAGTTCAGTAGCCTTTAAGAATGTCAGAAACAAAAGACAAGATAATTTTTCACTTTTAAAAACTTAATTGATAGAACTTGCCATCCTACTAATTTTTTCCACCATGTAATTGCCAAACAGGACAGACTTACAGTTCTAATCTGAAAGCAGGCTGACTGCAAATCACATCAAATATGTCAATAGAAAACATCATTTTATAACGTAATTCTGCATACCTGCTCCAAGCAGCTCGATTTTATTTTCTCCACATCTGTCTTGATTGAACTTTCAAAGGAGTCAATTTGCTTACTTTCTTCCTGAAGACACTCGTTGAAAAACTTTACCTCCTCAGATGCAAAGTCACCACTCTCTGAAAATAATCTGAAAGCAAACATATAAACAATTGGCTGAGAGTCATTTCACTCCAAGACCATTCTAGCTAAACAGCCCTGAAACAACACAAATGTGATGAAAACAGCACAATAATTGTGGTTTAACAAGATACATTTCTTTTTTTAAATAGGAAACTAGATGAATAACAAAAAAAACTTTACTTTTACTGTTCTGCCTATGCAACAAACACCGATTCCCATAACTAGGTCACCATTTATAAACAACACTTTCATGAAATCTATATACCTGCAACTTTTGAGAAAACCCACATTTGAATCCCTTAATTTTCCTAAAGCTTGCTCCAAGTGCTGCTGGTAACTTCTCACAGTAACACTGATCCATTCCAGATGGTTGTGGAGCTCTGATTCCAGATTCCTGCTGGAAGAAGCTGACCTAACAGCAAATAATAAAAGACAGGGAAACATGTCTGAAGAGGAACACACATGATGATTCAGCGATTGCTGGCTGTAAAGACATGAAAAATATTGAGGACTCAAAAGTGAGTTATGACTCTCTAAGCAACTCCTGATACTATTGGGCATTTTTCTTCAAAAAAAAAAAAAACAATTAGTTAACGGATATTACTGCGCATGTTCTACTTAAAGAGTGCCAGCACTTTGAAAGCAGATGAAAATCTCCATGTGTTCAGTCCTGATTTTAGTTTCATCAGGGAAAGAGAATGAAATTCTTTCCATGTTTTCAACTTTTATGAAGTCTTCATTGAAGAGCAATGACATATAAAACAGGTTCAGAATGCAAATCATAAACATCTCAGACAGCAATCAGGAGTATTTAACTGGGGAGACTCACAGCAACAGCAGTGGCACACTTACTGTTCAGTCACAGGAGCGTGGAGCAAGTCATACTCCAAGTTATGGACTCGGGAATTAAAGTTCGTGTTGAGGTTATTTAGGTGATCTGAAAATCGGAGGAATTCAGCCTTCTCCTTTTTCAGGCCTTCCAGCAGCACTGCACAGTGGCGCTCAAGGTGCTCTTTGTGAAGTGACAGCTCCTCTGAGAAGAAAGGAAGTTTATAATAGAGAAATTAGTTCCTCTTTGCTGTGAACTATCACAATGCTCAGTTAACCCGTGATCAGCAGCAGCAGCAAAATAAACAAAGCCAGACCTCATAGTAGCTAAAACATACAGATTAAATACATTCAATTTGGTTTCTTTGACTTTTCTCCTGTGACAGACATATGTCCTTAACAGCTCCTAATCCATTCAAACCATAAATGTCTCTTGTTTGCTCTAAGCATTCTTTTTCCTTTATTTTTGGTCATTGCTGACATCTCCATTATCCCTCTGTTCTCAGTCTTGTAACAAAACTAAAGGTAGTATTTTTCAATGGAAAATACACTTTTCCTGGTTTTGTAAGGGAAAGAAGAAAATCAGTTTTGGTCTCTCTTCTGGAATGATAGCTGTATAAATCAAGAGCCAGCCAATCATCTCAAGAAAGCTACCAGAAGAAGCACCTGTCCTCTCTGCAGAAAAAGGGAATTTGTAAAATTATTTGCCTGTTCTTCAAAAGAAGAATTTTAAACTTAAGTATTCAAGACCAACAAACCTGTCTAAAATATTTTTTTCTCACCATAAAAACCTGACACTTCCCATGCAAAAAGGGTTTTCTAGAGGATGCTCTGTAGATGCTCAGTGATATTTCACAGAGTCAAATCCTCCCTCTCATGTTTTCAGAAGCTTGGCCCTGATATTTGGCTCTCTCAACTTGCTAATTTCTTTTTCTGCAACACTTTTAAAATATTTTTTGTACACCACAAACTCTTGTTAAATAATTTCAAGGTGGATGAGAATTCACAAACATTTACAATAGAATTTTAATGTCTTCCCAGTTGTTAATCAATGCACTGCTGTCTATTTTTCCAAAAAGAACACAGTATAAACCAGGAAGAGCTATAGAAAAGAAATGTCGTTTTAAAAATATCTAACATAATATACTGGGAATTCATAGACAGTGAACTGCTTTTTGTTGTCCTCTATTACAGAGTCAACTACTGCTGAAACAGATTTTGGCCCACTTAGGACCATCTCTGAATGAAGAAATGTGATGCTCAGAATACAAAAAAAAAGTCAATACCAGCTCGAGCATTGCAGATGCTCTGTATCTCCTCCTGCTTTTGTTGATGCAACTTAAGATGCAGCATAAGTATTGAATTCAGCTCTTCTTTCTTGGCAGCTACAGAGGCATAGGAGTTGGACAAGGATTCTGCAAACCATTCCTCCAAGTGTTCAAAAAAGCAGAGGCGAATCCTATGATTGAAAAATAAATAATAAAGTAAGGAATAGTAAATAATAAATAAGAATTTATTGAATATATTATTTCTAAGAATTTAACTTCTGGCTATAGGAAGGTACAGTTTCAGTACCATTTGCACAATACTGGTAGAGTTTTTGAGCTAGCTGCTTAGTACTGAGTACCAGGCATTTTACCTTCATGGCAGGGAATCTGGGCAAATTACTTGTCTTTCTGTAATATGTTTTCTGACTAAATAATTTTCCCTAAAATATTAATGTTCTGTGAAGGTAAATGTTTTTGTGGTACTTGATAGCCATGGATACAAAACAATAAAAACATTTTATCATATTTGTATCAATTTAAAAAGTGGAATAACATAATAATTGTACAATCATAATTTTATAATTGAAAATCTAACTATATAAATATCTAATTATATAACAGTAATTAGATAACTTTTGCCTCTCTAGCCTAATGTTTCTTCTAAGCAGCTGAAATTTGTCTATCGCATAAAGAGAAAGAAAGAACAGAAATTGTTCTCAGCTCACCTTTTTTTCAGTTCAACAAACACGGCTTCTGTGAGAAGTACGTATTTCAGGTACATAGGAAGTGATTCTTCTTTTTCATATTTTGTAAAATAACTCTCTGTGATGTCAGTCTTTCCTGCCTCTTCAACTCCAAGAACAGTATAAATGTTTCCACTAGCAGTGGCAATTTCAGCACTTTCTGCCTCGCTGCTCTTGGACACTGACTGGGAAAATTGTTGGAAATTGTCACATTACTTTTAAAGGTACCAGCATAGAATCAACAGTGCACCAGCTAGTGTAGGAATCCTGAGGATATTTAGAATAATGTTCTCATTCTCAATTTGGACATTTACACAGTGCTGGCAATATTTATATTTTTATATATTTATATGCCAGCAAGACACAGGCAGAGTTGCCAACATTTTAAAAGGTTTTTATTATAGCAACAAATTAATGGAAACTGAAAAATTAATACTTAGGTACAAATACTTAGCTTAAAACCACAGGCTGAGAACACTGTGATGAAAGACAGATGAAAAAAAAAATTATGCAAAGGATTTCTATAAGGGTAAAAGATTGGAAAGAATGGTTTTGAACTGTTTTATACACTCAATTTTCCCATAAAAGGATCTGTGTGCTTTGTAAGCAAACTAAGAAAAAAATTACTTTCTACTCATTCTCAGCAAAAAGACTTCCTATTTCTCCTTAATTTGGACAAGACTGCCTTCACCTTCAAATTTATTCTCTTGCTCACTTACCTGTGTAATGCTTAGTCCCTGTTCTGCATGCTCATTTTCTTCACTTTTATGAGGAATACTCTCCTCATCTTCTTCTTCCTCTGTTTCTTCAATTTCCTGTGCCAAGATCACCCGTTTCTCTGTTAGCTTTTTTTCTCCAGCTGATTTTTGACAACTGTCCCCATCTTCTGGCACCAGCTGACAGAGGTGATCGTCCTGCTCTGCTCTGGGCTGGGATGTCCTTGCCTCGAGCCCTGGGGGTAATTTTGATTGCCACAATGTCAGAAAGACCTAAAGCTATTAGAGAAATGTCCAAAGGAGGGACACAGAGATAGTGAAGGGTCAGGAGGGGAAACCATACAAGAAGTGGCTGAAGGCATTTGGTTCTGCTGTAGGAGACTGAGGTCACACCTCACTGGCGGCTGCAGCTCCTCTCAGGGGCAGTGAAGGGGCAGCTCTGATCTCTGTGACAGGGACAGGACTCAGGGAATGGCTGGAGCTGTGCCAGGGGAGGATTAGACTGGAGATTAGGAAAAGGTTCTTTCCTCACAGGGTGGCCAGGTACTGCCCAGGCTCCCCAGGGAATGGGCACAGCCCCAAAGCTGCCAGAGTTCCAGGAGAGTTTGGACAATGCTCTCAGGGATACACAGGGTGAGATTGTTGGGGTGTCTGGGCAGCGCCAAGAGTTGGACTTTCACAATCCCTATTGGTCCCTTCCAACTCAGGATACTCTGATTTTCCTCTCTTTGCACGATGCTCTCAGCTTGCTGCTCCACCCTATGTTCACCTTCTGAAGCCTTGACTACTTATTTACAGTTAAAGCAGAGTTCTTCTGGTTACAATCCAAAGAAATACAGATTGAAAAACAACCAAGCAGAAATACCTGTTTGGACTGTTGAGGTATTATTTTGATCTTGAACTGTGGAGTCTATTGTGTCTTGCAAGTTCTAAAAGCAAAACAACAACAAAAAACACCCACCACAGCATTTTAAAATATAGATTTGCTTTCTTCTAAAAAATCCATATCCCTTCTCAAATACATCTATTTCAGTAAGATAGGCTAGTCTTGAAAATATCACTCACTATCTAAAGAACCTGTAACACTCAAATCAATTGCTGAAAATCTGTTACCTTGTAGTTTTCTGTTCAAAAGCCAAGTGAATTTGCTAAAATTCTGTTTGTAACAAGGACAGAGTTAAAAGTGCGGGACTGAGAAATGTTTTGGTTTCCCTCTGCTATCTCTACCAAAAGCACTTTATTCAATGGCTGAAACGGTACTTTATGTAATCTGAATTTCAAAGGTAATGTAAATTTTCTCTAAAGTGAAAAAGTAATACACCAGTAGGGTTTTAAACCAGAAGAAATTTTCTTTTTACCTGTTTGAAGATTTCCTTCACATTAAAATGCTGGCTGATGGATATACTATAAGAAATCAACTCCCACAAAATAGCTTTTGGATAAGCCATTACTTCATTCATTACAATCTGCCTGAATGTCTCATTCCTGTCAAATTGAAGATCACTGTTTAAGAGATTAAAATATTAGAAATAAAATTAAGTGTGACTACAGTGTCCTTAAATCTAATTTTTTTGATAAATCTCATAAAACCTTTAGGCTAAACATTGTCATTAATCTGTTTATATTGAATACAATCACATCCTGGCTTGTTAGAGATTAGTTCATGACAAATAAATAAATGCACAAAAGTTAAGAAATATTTCCAATAAAGCCTTTTACATCCTTCCTTTTGGATGGGGAACTGTTCAAACTCTGCTTACATAAGAAAGGTCAAATTACTGTCTTTCTTGTTAGTTCTACACTGTGCTCAGCTGTGACTGAGCCTTTCTGGTTTATTTTCATTTTACTTGAAAATAAAAACTAATGGTTCAAGCTGAGTCTAGATTCAAGAAAAATCAGTGTTTACACTTGTTTTCATTTACATTTGCTTTGTCTTCTAAACAAAGATAACTATGGGGAATTTAGGTATGTATTCAGATAGGTTACATTGTATTTTCACTTGGTCTGTTACCTCCGGCTTTTTAAAAATTGTATGAATGATTATTAAGAGTATCAAACCACCACAATCCCACTATAAGGTGTGTAAGACTGCCCCTCATGTCCATATTGCTCTTCTAATGTGCCTCTGATCTAACAGGCAGAAAAGACCCCTGGGTGTGAGAACAGAGCTGCTTCCTCTCAGGTTTCACACCTCCTGCTAAAATGTTTAGCAAAAAGAGCAGTACTGTACCAATTTTTATATGGTTTTTAAGGTTGCAAATGCCTAATCACGAGAAGGATAACAGAGAGCTTACCAAAATTAAATACTTTGGCTACTTAAAGATCTTAGTCCCTGCAACTTTGAATGAGATCAAGTCTGTGAGTGCAGACATGATGGTGCAGACCAACTTTTGATTCCTGTGATTCAAGAATCTGAACTACTTTTACCTTCTGAATAAGGCATGGATGTGATGGTATGCACAGGAATACTGATGTGGTATGGTTTTTGAATTATAGCAGTCTTTCTTCATCCCATTCCTAAACTGTGGGTATTATTTGCCTTAACCTTGTTCAATATGTGCATTATTTTATATTCTTACATGAAGTGAAACACTCTTTTTTCCATACCTTCACACAACAGCATAAACAAGGCCTAAGTAGTACAACCAATGTTAAAATATGCTTTACTTTTATACAAAATTCATACCTAGCTCTAATTTGATCTAGAGAAGAAAGGGCATTCTCTAAATATTCCTTCAGCTCTTCTTCACAGCTTGCCATTTTCATTTTTTCCAAAATTGTATCCAGCTCATCTTTCATCACCTAAGGCCACATTAAAAAGCTAATAAAAATGGTTTAGTATATACTAAAATCTCCATAACTATTTAGGATTCAAGTAATTTGATTATGAATGTATATTCCACACCAAGACCTTAGCAAAACTTATCACCTGTGAAGATCTTCCTTGATAATGAACAGCTCTGACACAGCCACCCCAAGCTGGCTGCTGTAGCTATGAGAATTTGGCATCCAACCGGACTCCATACCTGCACAAGATCTCATAATAGCAACTTACAGCCACTTTGTACAGAAAGCAGCAGTGATCTTTATCACTTTTGCCATATCAAGAATAAGACAGGACTGTCCATTCAGTGTGAATCAAGCATTTAGCAAAAATGCACTTGACAGAATGAAACTTAAAAGTAGAAATTCCAATATAAAGGTCAGATATTTATAGCAGCTGTTTTGAATTCCAGAGGGTTCTTTGTATTAAGAAGACTTCTCTTTACATTATGCCACATCATTGTTTTTATGTTTATACCTGTATTATGTCATCCTGTTCCAATCTGTATTTATCTACTTTTTCCTCAAGTACATCTTCCTGCTGTGACAGTTTGAGTAGATGGACATCCCACAGACCCATGGCCTCCTGAACACAGCTGTACAAGCCTTGACAATGCTGCTCATGCCATTTAGCCATCTCCTTAAAATCACTCTAAAGAAAAACATTCCAGTGAACAACTCATTTTTAAACTGCTGGAAGGTGAAATGAATGAATAAGAGGATATGTAACATGGGAAAAGGCCGCATGGAACTATACAAATGGTGTTCAATATTGTGTCTTCTATATGGTGACTAAAAAAAAATCCAAGTAAACTGGGTAAGAATGTGGATTTTTATTCTACAAGCTGAGAGTATCAAAACTTCTGTTTATTCTGACATGGCAAAGCACTGAATCATATTCTACAATTTATCTCTTTAGGAACAACTGCGTGGTCATTTTTATGTATAGAATCACAACATTTGGGAGATCATTTAAATCTATTCCTCTGCCTTCAGACAGACTGGGCCATACGTCATTCATACCTATCATATGTATTTCAGATATAAATGATAATAAAAATGCAATATATTACAAACAATAAACACAGTAATTATGAACTCTTTCATGTGAAACTCTTCCACACCAAACCTTGTTTCTTTGTAGTGTTTAGTCACACTATGGAGCTCTTTCTAATGTGACATCAATAGCCTACAATGTAGAAGGCATTGCAGATAGGAGCACAGAAATAACAGACTAATGCCAAGAAGATAAAAGCAAATGTAATTAACATACATCCATGTGCTCCAGTTCTTCTTCAAACCTGTGTTTTAGTTTCTCAGTCATCTGAAGCATGTTGGAATGTACAATTTCAACATCTTCTACTGTGCAAATGTTCTTATCCAACAGGGTCATCTAAATGAAAAGAATAGCAAATTATTGACATGCATGACTTTCAGAAAGCATGACTAAACTTAGTGTTTCTTCTCTTGTGATGGACAGAGAAAGACTCAGCCTCCTATATCCCACATTTGTTTACTAAACACTACAACTCAGCTGGATACAGAAGGAGAAACTGAGACAGAGAGCAAGACAGATTTGCCAAGATAGATTTAGCACAAAGGCTGAAGGTCCTTACATTCTCCACATAAACACAGGACAGAACCCCCTTCATTACTGGCATTTGTTACAGCTTTTACACATTTCAAGTACAAATGCCAAACACTACTGTGAAACTAAATGGATGGTTACTTTTTGAACTGAGTAAGACAGAGGTTAAAAACTAATTTCACTTGTTATCTCAGTGTTTGGTGGATCCTCAAACACATTTTACTGTAATGGCACACTGTACCACGGCTACCACACCCAAAACTGGGACACTCACCTTGCAGGTCTGCACTTTTTCCTGACATTTGCCCTGCACCAGCTCATACTGGACACGCAATTTCTCCACAAACTCTGCACTATGGGTGTCTGAATGGTATGGAACAGACCACAGTCAACATTCTGTATTTCACAGTGCAGTGTGAAAAGGAAACATGACAAGAGGCCATGTGCTGAATCTCAGCAGAGGGAACAGATCCCAGCAGTGTCACACATCTGTGTGACACTAACAACCAATCAAATAAGATGCTTTAATACACAGCCCTTTATAATCATGCTTAGAAGTAGCAAGTTATTTACAATTGCTACCAGCTTCTTTGCTACCATACGGGCTACAAACATCACAACAAGACGTGCTCTGGAGCAAGAGAAGGCAGGCACACAGAGGGAAGGCACCCTACAGGACATAGAGAAAGGAAGTACCTCCAGTACTTCTTCCCCTCTTCTTCTCCAAGAGTTAAAAAGGAGTATATTTTTGTATGATTGAAAACTGCTCCATGTCAAAATTAAACTTTTATTTCCCCAGATTAATTCTAACCAAGCCAGTTCCTGCTAGATGTGACCATGTACAAGTGTTTGTACCAGCCAAAGGAAAGTGATGTCACAGGCAGCTTCTTTGGGTCTTACTGCCAGCTCAAAGCAACTGAGAAGGCGGGATGGAACAAAGAATAGAGCAAACATGCACTTTCAAAGCAACTGTATGCCTCATCATTGCCCAGGAAAAAAGAAAGTATTGCTTGAATTCCAGACTGTTTGTATGATTTCCCAACTTACCTATACTTGTGTTTAAATTCTCCAGAGTTCTGTACCATTCATTTAAGTCAGATTTTGTATGTGTTGGAGGCAGCAAGGCACTATCAAAGTAGTAAACAAGAGTCAGGTATTCTAAAATACAAACCAGTCACGTGTATATAAAACTATTAAAAAATACAAAATTATGAATCAGAGCATCCATGCTACTGTGCTTTATTTTATTTACAGCCATCTTGCAATGAAAATCAACCAAAGAGACTGTTGTTGTTCAAGGCCAACTGTTTACTACCCAACAAGGAACTGTTATCTACCTTGCTCCCAACATCCACTGTAAAAAAACTCCCTGTAAATACAGTAATGCATTGCACCCAAAAATGCTTTTTGTGTTCAGGATGGATATTCAAACACAGCAGTGTCAGATTTCTATCCATATTCCTCTCTGAATTTATTACACAAATTAAACCCCTTGGAGAAAAAAACACCAACTTCTAGTTCTCCACCCATCTTTGTCTGCCCATTTCTACCAGTTTCAAATGTCAGTAATATTTACTTTTGCATTCCTGCATTTTTAGCCCACAATCACCACTTCTTTAGTGTAGCTGGTGCAGTGAAAATCAAGAATGCTTTTCCATTAAAAAGAGCTGTAGAAAAATAGGGTTTGACCCTGTCTTACTGCTGAATTTAACAATCACACACTGACAGAAAGCAAAGTGCATTTTGTAGCCAAGCTCCTCACATTAACTCCAGCAAGAACTGTTTTCCTTTATACTATATCCTCTTTTGCCATACCCAATATGCTGCAAAACCCTCAGTCTCTGTTCACCAAGTACAATTTGCTCCTTAATCATATTTTCCATTTCCACAGCTGGGGGATTCTGTACTTCTTCACTTGCCATAAATTCTCTGCAGGATGGAAAAAAGATACGTATAATGGAAACATGATATCAAACATGATATCATACATGATATGTATAAAGAAAAAATAACTTTTTTTAACTTGTGGTTTTATAGAAACCACAAGTGAACACTAGTCACTTTGTGTTATTCATTGTCCAAAATAAGATTGCAAAACTTCTGACCTGAAGCTCTGAATAACACAGTTCTTTTGGATGAGCTTCCAGTCCTTGACTCTCTCTTGCCACTTCAGTTGATGCAATTTTTCTTTCTCAAGCTCCGATTTCATTAGATTAAAGAGCAGCTTGGCAGTTGCCCTCTCATTACCCAGCAATGCTCTGTTTATATTCTGCATATTAAAAAAAAAAAAAAAAACAAAACTAGGAGTAGAAGCAGCATACAACATGCAAAAACGAACAAAAAAATATATCTTCTACAGAAAATGAGGTGAAAAAAGAATACAAATTATTA